GGCCTGGGTCTCCGTCGGGCGCCATCTTCCGCGGCCCTGGCCGTGCGGGGCAGGCCGGTTCCTCCAGCCCGAGCCACGCTTCGAGTAACGCCGGCCTGGCGCCAGGGCCCTCCTCACCACCGGCGCCCAAGATGGGGACTGAAAACTTGAAACCCCTTCCCAAGGTAGGGAGAGTGTGTCCCTGCCCTGGAAGTCTTGCAGGAGGCTGCCGCTGAGAAGGAGCTGGAAGGCGGCTGCAAGCATGGTGGAGCCATGCACCGTGCAGCACTGGTGGGTTGTTTCCAGCTGTTCGGAGCAAGGCGACTTGGGTGCCCCGCTTGATTTCAGCCCCCACAGGTCTCCTACCTCAAAGGCTCTGAGAAAAGAGCCAGCTTCAAATGAAGGCCATGTTTTTACACACTGCTCTTGGGCACGTGACGCGGGAGGAAAGAAACCTGAGGTTTTACTGTCAAATGAAATCAGAGAGCCCTGCTGCTTCCTCTCCTCACACTGCTGGGTTCAGAAACGCTCACTTTTGCCTCATGATTGCCTCATTTTGCAACCAAAATACAAATCCACTGTTCAGTGGATGTAGAAATGAATGGAGAGATACTTTTTCAAAGCAGAAGGCTGGCGATGCAGGCGCCTGGATTCTGCAAACCACCACCCAGGTCCCTTCAGCTGCAGGATGGGGGTGCAGCCCAGTGGTTAGAGCACAGCATCTGCCTAGGCGTTGGCTCGTGTGGACTGGGCTCACAGAGCAAGGAGTGGGACACACAGGCCTGCAGAGGGCATGGATGTGTGTGGAAGATGGCTGGTTACAGGGTTCATGAGCTCTCCAGGGGTGTGGACATGCTCTGCTCCATGAAGGGATCCCTGTCCTGATGTTACATAGTGTCTTTCAGGGATGAGGGAAGGAAACCTGAACCACTGGAAGAAGAGGTGTGTTTTCCACTGCAGCATGGTCTTAGCTTCTCCCTCCAGTCCCCCTTTTCCCAGGGCAAGAAGAGACAACGAACATCTGAAAAGAGTTTGCTGCTCTTTGGAGGTCAGTATAGACTCAAGTGTGTTGCTCCCTTGCAAAGTTTCCTGGTAAAAACAGGGCAAGAGCATCACAACATGGCTGCGTGGACCTCATCCATTCCCATCCACCACGTAGACTTTGATACTGCTCACGAAGCACTTCTGGAGCAATTTGGCTTCCAGGGCTGCATTGCTGCCATGACCTTTCACTGGTTCCAGTGGGGCTCTGAGCTGGAAAGCCCCTCTCAGAGGGACACATTTGCAGCTAGTTCAGGTGAATGTAGGACCCATGAACTGAAGACATATCCATGGAAAGGCCTGCTGTTAGGCTGAGACTCTGGCCCCCTTATGCTGCCCACTCTGACACAAGGAACACTCCCTAGAGGCATCGTGAAATCTCTCCAGGAGGCCTGGACAATCAAGGGGTCTCATCACTGCCCCAAGCAAGTGGTTGGTCTCCCAGGGTCCCAGTGGAGTGCCCCCAGCTCTCTCCTCCTCCTATGTATGTGAATTTGAAAGCCTGGAGGGAGATTTTCAACTGAGACACATCCCCATCCTGACTCCTCTTGGGCACTGGAAAGTCTCCTGCCACTGTCTCTCCTCAGCACTGTCAAAGCCTGATAATCATCCCCTAGAGCTGAGGGATCTAGAGTCCCTGCTGAAGATGAGTCACTGCGGTGCTGATGCACCTAAGGCCCACTGAAGCCATTGTTTCTTTTCTGTCTGACTGTCCCCTCTGGGCTTGCATTGCTGAGATGCCTTTTCATCTTCCATTTGGTTGTCCGTGAGAAAACAAACTCCTCTACCATGTTGTCTGACTGCAGCAAATCTGCTGCAGATGCCAAGTTAGGGGGCACAGCTACTCTGGTCAGGTACAAGTACTTCAGGACAAAGGGCAAACCAAGAGATTACAGAGCCTACAGAGAAAGTTGACTCATGCTTGTGCTGCTGGGTAAGTCACACACACCGAATACTTTTACTGCATAGTCTTCCTGGCATTCATCATGCTGTGAAGATTATATCCATGACAGTAGTATTCATGATCACTGCTCTGACATATGCTGCACGAATACACAAGCCTGGACAGCATCATGGCCAGCATTTTCTTACAAAACTTACTTTGCATTGGCATGTCCTCCTATACATCCCCACTCCATCTAAAGTGATTTCCTGTTGCAGCTGAACAGGTTTTCTCAGTAGTGGGTCAGGCAAGGGATGGGAGGGTGGATGGCTTCTCATTTAGAATGTAGGTAGTTTTTCCGCAAAGAAAACAACACTTCTTAATTTTCCCCCTCTAAATGAGATTTTGGGAACCATTTGCTGTAGAGCTGAAAACATTCTTTTCTCCTCCGTCATTCTGCCTCTCCTTCTGTCCTCCCTGGACAATATATGCTCACAGCCCACATCTCCTCAAGGCAATAGCCCTTCCTTGGAACTGACTTCAAGTGAGGAGACTCACATGGATGTGAGCAAAAGGAACTGACGTTCAATCCCCCATTTCCTCGAGGGGAAAAAGATACGCTAGAAGGTTTCCCACTGTTTTAGTTAGAAGTTACTGGGCAAGGTTTTCTGGCAGTAGGTCCTGCCCTGCCTAATTTAATTCCAGGAGGTAACCGAAGACTTACCAATGCTGTCTTAAAAAGGCCAATGGCATCCTGGCCTGTATCAGAAATAGTGTGGCCAGCAGGAGTAGGGAAGTGATCGTGCCCCTGTACTCGGCACTGGTGAGGCCGCACCTCGAATACTGTGTTCAGTTTTGGGCCCCTCACTACAAGAAGGACGTTGAGGTGTTGGAGCGTGTCCAGAGAAGGGCAACGAGGCTGGTGAGGGGTCTGGAGAACAAGTCTTATGAGGAGCGGCTGAGGGAACTGGGGCTGTTTAGTCTGGAGAAGAGGAGGCTGAGGGGAGACCTTATCACGCTCTACAACTACCTGAAAGGAGGCTGTAGTGAGGTGGGTGTTGGTCTCTTCTCCCAAGTAACTAGTGATAGGACGAGAGGAAATGGCCTCAAGTTGCGCCAGGGGAGGTTTAGATTGGACACGAGAAGAAATGTCTTTACTGAAAGAGTGGTTAAACATTGGAACAGGCTGCCCAGGGAAGGGGCTGAGTCACGATCCCTGGAAGTATTTAAAAGACGTGTAGATGAGGCACTGAGGGACATGGTTTAGTGGGCATGGGGGTGTTGGGTTGACGGTTGGACTCGATGATCTTAGAGGTCTTTTTTGACCTTAATGATTCTATGATTCTATGATTCTCCCTGGTAGTAGGAATAGCAGAGTCATCTTAAGGTACAAGAGATAGTGTGTTTATAGAATCATAACAGTAGATCAGGAAACAGTGTAGGCTTCTCTTGAATGGAAATATTAACAAACGACATTTTTGCGCACAGAGAGCCTTACCTCTTCCTGTAATTTTATCTGCAAAAAATATGTAAAATCTTAAACTGCTTCCAGGAGCCTGAGATGGACTAAATCTGTCAAAGGATTGAAATGTCTCCCTGAATAGATGACCTTGCAGTGGCGTATTTCTCATTTGCACTAATGCAGGTCATAAAACAACTCTGACCATTATGTAAACTCAAGGGTTTACACACAGGAATGACCCTTTTTATCCCCATTTCCAGAATTTTCCCCAGTCAGGGAATGATTGACATATGTCTTGGATGCCTGTCCTGAGCTGTCTGTTGGGCTGCAGAATCTGAAGCACCCATTGGTGATGCAAGGATGGGCTATGCTCCCTTCTCAAAGTGACTGGGAGAACTTCTGAAAGGAAACGGTCTCTTCACAGTCACAGGTCACTTGTTGACAGAGCATGCATGATTTCTGCAAAACTCCCCCTGAGTTCTTGGCATCTTGCCTTGACTTCTTCTTTCTTGTTTCCACATTCGATCTTCACCTCTTCTTTTTTCTTGAAGAAAAGGCAAGCAGAAGGAAAAGCAGCTCCTCACTTCCTTGCTGACTGTCTTGACAAGCCTTGAAGTGCTGAATACTATGTGCTGCTCTCCAACCACGGGGATAATGAAAAGACTCTCCTAAATTCAGGGGTACGTGTTGTTGTGAATTCAAGAGATGTCATGAACATGGCCAACCTCTTTGGCAAGGAAGCTGAGCCATGTGTGTCTGTTCCCTTCTTAGACTGATTAGCACCTGCCCCCACAGCAGACCCTGTCCGCAGTGGGAAAATCTCTCCAGTGGGAAGACATGTTTATATTGATGGAGTTCTCCAGCAGAACACATTTTCCTGACTTGCATTTGAGCTTTTGCTTACAAGGGGCTGGAAGATGAATGTGGAGAAAGTTGGCAGTCTCTGCTACAAAGCCAACTGCCGATTAAGGCTCTGTGAAGTTCCTGCATCATCATGCTCAGGGATATTCTGAAGCAGTTCAGCAGCTCCCCTTCCTCA